TACACTGCTAGAAAATGATGAAATTAAAACGGAGTTCCAACGAAAATTCTAATATTATTATTTATATTAGAATTTTTCAACGGATCACAATGAAAATTTCTATGAAAATCGACTTTAGGAATTAAAGTTTCTTTTGAAATTTTTATTTGTTTTTGACGATTATAACAATAGAGTTTCCAAAGATTGAAATATGGTCCAAATAAATGTTCCAGTGGAAATTCCTACGACAATAACAATTGAGAAAATGACCGTTGGAATTATCAAATTCCAATTAAATTTTAATTTCAACGGAATGTTTTATGTTGATTTATGTTTAAATGTCCGTTGAAAAATTCCAACAGAAACTATACTGGTAGAATATTCGTTGGAATTTTCATTTAAATTTTTATTATTGGTATTTCCGTTGAAATATGATAATTTTTTTATTATAATAATTGTGTTATTGTGTCGCATTCATATTTTACTATCTTGTCTTCATATTATTTATTTTATATCGGAACGAATCTAAAATTGACTCATTTTTTATTTCATGTTTTTTTTTCGTGCCTTAGCATAAATTGTTATTTATTTATTTATTTATTTTTTTGTATAATGAAAGAGGCAATGAAAGAGGCCGAGGTCTAAGAGTTTCTAAATCAACACACGACGTGGGTGAGCCACCCCTACACTATCATGATTAAACCAGTGTCCAAGATCCAGCGGCGGAGCAATTAGACGATGATACCCAAACCGATACACCAGCAGCCAGCGAAGCTAACTTATCAGCCGAGAAATTCCCTCTCCCCTATAGATATGGGACACTCGAAGACACCACTCTTTCCTGAATAACTCACGAATCACTCGAATAATGGTTAATTTCATGAAGGCCAAGATTATCACTGTTTATATTCAGCTAGTGGCTGTAGTTTTACACATTTGTGCGTTTTATATCATATCTCTATTATTTCGGAAAAAAAACAAAAAAAAAAATATATATTTTCAATTACAATCGTATTTTCGAATTGTTTGCTATTGCACCTCTTACTAATTAACATCAACATGTAAAGTCACGAATTAAGAACGTGTTACAAAATTGATCAGATTAATTAAACATATTTTGCGATCCAAATTGTGTAACGTCCCTCCACGACAGAAATAACCAATTTCCAATCATGGACCACCAAATAAATAATACTTATTCATATGTAAAATCTTTTTTCGTGTGAGCCTGTCAATAAAAAAAAAAAATAATAATAAAAAGTACTCACAAATTCAACTGTATGTGGTCCTCAAAAAAATGAATTAAATGCCCTATCAAAGATTAATCATAAATGTCTGTCAATATTAGTAATATGATTACTGTATAATTGGGTCCATATATAATAGGGATTAGACATATAGCTATTAAACTTGTACTTTTTTGTGTTCCTCTTGGTTAGCTTTTGGTTAATATTAATTAGTTGAAAATAATAATTTAAACTCCTATGTATCAATGATTGTATTAGTTCATAAAATTTTTTGGTCTGAATAATGAGCTACAAAATTTGGAAAATTTGCATCTAAATTGAAGCTGTATTAGACACCAAAGTCATAAAATAAAAACAAATTAAATTACATTAAATAAATAATTGTCTCCGAGTAAGGTTATCTTTTAGTATTATGTATTGTAGGGTTAGATTAAGGCTCAGATCCATATTTTTTCTTTATATAGAGGGAAAACTACATTTGACCCACCTAACTATAGAGTTTTTTGCACTTTACCCACTCAACTTTTTTTATTTACACTTTGCCCTTCGAAATGGTCGGACAATGACCGGAAATTGGTTAAGTTCAATTATTTAGAATGTTATATAGGCAAAGTGTCACGAAAAAAAGTTGACTAGGTAAAATGCAAAAAATCATATAGTTATAATGCCACATGTGGCACCATAGAATTTCTGATATACATGTACACATAAACCATTACACGTAATTTAGGATATATTAAAGATAGAAAAAACAGATTAGGGGATTAGAATACACAACGTGTGTAAAAACATAAAATATAAGTGGAAGTGAAAACTAACATACACTACAAGAAAACACTTCAATTTCAACGGCAAAAAATTTCGTTGAAAATTTCAATGAATATTCTAACAAATTTAATTTTATGTTGGAATAAGTGTTGGATGGTTGAGTAATTCCAACGGATTTTTTCCGTTGGAATAGTTGTAGGAATTTATTTTCATAGGATTTTCCGTTGGATTTTAGCTATTCCAACGGCCGTTTTCCCATAAATTTTTATACGTAGGAATATCCGTTGGAATAGCTATTCCAACGAAAAATATAAAGAATTCCAACGGAAAATTTCCGTTGGAATGTAAGAGTTTTTTTTAGTGATAAATTATAAATATATTTAAAAACTAATAACTTTTTTTATTTATTATCAATTTTTTATGCTTGTATTGTACATAAAAATAAATATGATTATATTTATTATATTAAAAACTAAATTATATATTAACATTAACTGGAAAAAAATATTTAAAATAGTTTAGCAGTAAATTAGTTATATGATAAAAGTTAAAATATTATTATAATATAAGTTATTAAGTTGTATAACTGAGTGTCATTTTAAATATAAATAAAACATATCTTTTTTAAAAAATTGAATAATAATTTTTTTAATGTTAATTTTAAATTTAAATTTCTTAACAAACATAATACACTGTTATTGTACTAGCTAAAATTATTTTATAAAAAAAGTGTCTAATCACCCTTTCATCATTTACAAGCATGGAAATAGTACACTACACAATCACGAGCTGAATATGGGCCGAGTTCTCACATATAATTTTCTTGAAACAATTATTAGCAATACATGGTTTTATTAGACTGAATTTTATTGTTACGATCACCTCACCGATATGCATTCAAAAGGGGGTCACCCAACTAGAATAGAAGTCAGACGACGCTAGAATTAGCTCGAAAAGAGAATATTTGACGAAAAAATGAACACATAATCAAATATTAGTTGATCGAATTTTTATGGGAAACCACCCCAGTCTAACATTATGTCGCTCGGATTTCAACGGCCGATCATTCAACTAGAATGACAACATAGAAATCTTAAAATTAGAGGAAAACGGAGACGAAGTTTGAATTATATGTACACAAACTTTCTCTTATAGAAAATTAAATGAGTAAACAAACTTTTTTTGGAAATTGATGAACACGTTCACTTTCATATTTACGATCCCATTCGGCCTTCAAATTGCACTTACAAAGACCGCAATGACACATGGGGGGTTTCTCATAATCGGCTAATTCTTCCCAAAGTTTGGTGATCTTACCGTAGTATGCTTCAATACTCAAACCCTTTTGCTTACAAGCCGCCAGATCCGATTTGAGTTGTTGAATTCGAGGACCGTTCTTCATTGTAAGCCGTGCCTTCAAAGAAGACCATAAATCTGCCGCAAGTTCCGGTTCCACCACAGAAGATCGGAGAGTGGCATCAATACTGTTCATAAGCCACGAAAGCAACAGGGCATTGTTTGCTTGCCAATCTTCAAATAATTCATCATTGTTTGCGGGTCGCGCGATCGAACCATCTAAAAAACCAAACTTCTTGCGCGCACGAAGAGCGGTGCGGATGCTACGGGACCATTCTTCGTAATTGATATCTCCCTTTAACTGAACTTGAGTGATCAAAAGGCCCGGATTGTCGCTCGAAGTGATGTCATATGGAGAGATCGTTTTTCTGGGAACAGTAGCAGACCCGGAGCCGGAGCCGGAACCTGAGCCTTCACCGGACATGGCGATGTCAGTAGAGAAGAAAAATACTGTACGCTGCCAATGAAGAAAGGATACTGTACGCTGCCAATGAATTGTAAATATTTCCCTTTTTTTTTTGGATAAAGAAAAACGATAACAGAAGTTGGGATAATAGAAAAAAATCAATCAGAAAAAATATCTGTGATCAAGAAAAAAAAAAGAAAAATATAACTGGCTCTCTGATACCATGACAAGAATGAAAAGGAGCAAAAGAACGAATGGAGACATCAAATCTGATGTCTTGCGGCTCTCCCTCTTTCATATATATATATCTACAATTAGGTTTAAACAATAACTTGATCCCTAAGATACTAAGATAATAAGGGTACAATAGAGAATACACAATACTAAATACTAATTACATCAACAAAATAACCCCAGAAACGGAAAGCCCCTTCAAGAAATAACCCCACAATACAATCTCCAAGAAAGCTTTGGTTTGGTTTTACTCCTCGTCAGAATGTTCATTGACGGCAACCTCATCTTCCATTTCCTTCACTTTCTCCAGCTGCCTCAACAGATCCAACCTTTCTTGTCCATATGTCGAAGGTATCTGCACGGCACACTTCGCAAGTTACGTCAACTCAAAACAAACATACTAAAAAAGTAAAAAGGATACAGACCAATGCCGGCATATAGCGTTGAATAGCTGCCAGCATAGCAGCATGACCCACTGCAGTAACCTGCAGGATAACATACACGAACACAATGCATTATTTCAAATTCTAGCTTCTATAAGCAAACACTACCACTTTCTGATATTCAGCTACTTTTTGTTACTTCTTACAGTGGATTTCTCTAAACCCCAAACATTTTGGATAACTCACAGAAAAAGAATTCCAAAATGCTAATTGAGTCGATGATTAGCCACAAACGCACAAGCACACACAAGCAGAGACTATGGATTCAAAATAACGTCCTCAATGCTTACAGGAAGGAGCATGAGAAATCCAATAGGCAATACTGAGGCCAAATCAGTTAATGTTCTTCTGAGAGCCTGTTTTTCCTTTTCTGTTAGCTCGTCCCGGATTAGCACTCTCCTAAGGAGCCCCATGGCAGCAGCTGTATCAATAGCCAGAAGCTGAGTGCCTTGCAAGACATCCTGCATGCAGAATATGACAATTTTGAGATGTTCCAGAGTATTAACAACAATATGGAAATGGATGAACATATATACATTCACATATGAACAGGAAAGTACTAAAAAGATGTCGTCGAATTATTACTTTCCCTAGTTGATTAACTAAAATGCACACAACGTGATGCAGGCAATGCCAAAAACTAGTTTGTGACGGTATTATGTGACAGCTAAGGTGGACCAGATCCGGCATGAATTGAGCAAATGTCAAGTTGACGGATTACAAATTGAAGAAGGCACTGTGAAGGGCACATCGAGCTACTTTGCATTGAAATTAAAAAAAAAAAAAAAAAAAAAAAAAAAAAAAAAAAAAAAAAAAACTCTTAAAGAAGTTTTTGTCTTGAAAACCCAAATATCCTCTTTGAAGAATTTTGGTTTAGGAAGAGTTACCGGTGTATAGTTCTAGGCCAGAGTTTAGAAAATTAACTACACTTAAATTCTAGAGATGTTTCTACAGTTGGCCCAGAAAGATAATCCCAGAATTCGAGCTCAGAATGAATGTACAAGGAGAAATGTATTTTGGTTGTCAATCTGCAAGGACAGAGGATTGGGAAGAAAATTATGCACATAAACTTGGAAATGAGATCTTCATATGTGTTTTCAAGCTTTAGTTAGAGCTACGGCCAGGGGAACATTGAACTTGAACATGCTACCCAGAATCATAACTGCAATATTTACACAGGCAACAAATTATTATAGTCAAATATGGCAGTATAAGATATTCATACTGTGCTCGTCTCCTTCAGTTTGTCTAGGGATCTCCCAATAATACTGTCTTTCTTTTGAACCGGTACCAACCCAGAGCCTTTAGCATCACCATTATGTGTAGATGCGTCACTTTTAACCAGAACTTCCTCCTGCATGCAAATATTTAATCAATTGAATCAAGTATCAGAGTAAGGAAACAGCCTTAAACAAGAGAATGAAAAAGCCACACACACACACATACACATGATACAACATATACATTTTGATATAATGTAACCTCCAACAGTATATTACGATAATAAGTATACAGAAAACCCTAGACGCTACTTCCTTAATATAGGTCACCTAGGCCCATGAAAAATTCTGAACAAATAACATACTTCGGGTTCATCTAACTGTTTCAATCAAATGAATGGAAACTTAGAAGCATTTTTATCCATGCGTCTTAAGTGCATAAATCAATCCTATCAAAAGTAGATTGAAGCAGGCTGATCCACATGTATATCTAACAATGAGCCAAGAGACATGGTAACCCCCATTCATGCGGAGAAACATTCACTGAAGCAGCAATTTCATTAAAATATAAACTAAATCCATTCACAGTAGAATCAAGATTAATACAACATCATCCAACGTTCTTCAAGCGAGCAAAATCATCTTCATAATCCCATCTCCACAGCATACCAATTTCAGTAAAGGAAGAAAGCTCATCGTACAATTTTTAGGATAACAAAAAACAGAGTGTGATAGGTAATAAAATCATGAGATGCGGAAGGATAATGGATAATAAATTCAAAAATAAGATCTTTATGGGATACGGCCTATACTTCGTGTCATACAAATACCTGATAATACTCGACTATAGTCACAAAGGTAGACGCAATGTACCTCGTCATATCCACATCGATCAGCACTTCTTTGGACTCGCTTCTCAAGTTCCATTAATTCACTCCTTAAAAGTTCAAAGCGCTGAATTTCATCTGATTCTGATTCAGTTATTCCGTTATTTACAATTTCTTGTTCAGCTATCCCATCATTCTGCTGAAAATATAAAATAGTCTATTTCTTAGAAACACCAATAGAATTGCTAGGGATAAGCTCTACTGAAAATGAACACACATATGAAAGCATGACGTAGCTAGACACATTTTAAGCTATTGTGCTTATATGTATACTTTACTGTGATCTTTCTTTAGTAATAAAATACAAATATTGTTCATACATTCGACTAAAATATTAATAGTGATGTTATCTTGAGATTATGAGTATCATGCCAAAAACAAATATGATATAATGAGGCTACTAATGCAATCAGAAAGAAAAAAACATCAATGGGAGAAGCATTCAAGCATAGATGCTAAAATAGATAGTAAGTCCCGAGAGACAGCTAGATGAATGATCAAGGAAAATCATAGATGTGGTCATCTGCACAAGGCATTGCCCGTGGTTGGTCTGAACTTAAACAGATCGCTAGAAGCAGGAAAGAAGCAGCATATGAGCAAATAAATGTACAACTAATTGATGAATTCTCAAATCAATCAAGGCATACACTATCATTTGCAGTTAACAAGCTCGGGCTAGGTGATTTATTTGGCCGAGGTACGAAGAAACTCCATAATCCGCGAGAGCTGCTACCAGAGAACAAAAAGACTACTTAGCAAAGTAAATAATTCAAAATTAAATAATAAATAGGTGAAGGTTGAACTGATTGTATTAGCAGAAAGTCAAGATATATGTCTGCACCTGCGGCTCCCATCAGTTTCAGCATCAGCACCCTTACTACCTTTTTCTCTGGAGTACAGTTGCTGCTCACCAACTGGAGGTCTAAGGCCACTGACAGCTCCCTTGTACATTAAACAGAAGCCAAACAGGAAAAGAAAAATAATTTACGGACAGTGATATGGTGTACAACACAACAAACTTACATCTATCCATATGAAGATTAGTTTGTAAATGTTAGAAGTTATGTTTGTCCCACATCTATTAGTTACTGGGCTGCTATTTCGTACAAGTGTGGATTCGGCACCCTCTTTATTTGGACTAGCTTTCGGAGATGAGTTCTACTCAAGCACATTTATCATGGTATCTGAGCACCCATGTTTGTTTGTCTGGAGGCATGTTGGGGTCGGACCTGGCTCATATGGATTGGCATGCATTTCATGAGGGTGGATGTTATAATTTGTCCCACATCAAAGTTACTGGACTGCTACTGTGTATATGTATGGTGTTGGGCACTCTCTTCCTTTGACCTAGCTATTAGAGATGATTTCTATACTTCTACTTAGATCCATCTATCAATAACCACTAAATAAAATATATAAGCCTAGAGGTCAATATAACCACTAAATAAAATATATAGGACTAGAGGTCAACATGATTGCAACGATATTTTAAAGATGAAAAAATAAGAAGGGATGAGACTTTTTCATTTGGATTATTCAAAAGATCAACACTAAATCGATTAATGAAAAGCACAACATGAGATAAAACGAACATAGCAATGTTCTCTTAAACTCGATTTCATTATTAAAGCAAGATGGATCGAAAGAGGGCATGAACCTCGAAACCACATGAATAAGCAACATGGACATTGAAGGCTAACCTATGAAATAAGGCAAATAGAGTCTGTGACTTGCACAGACAAAGGCAAGTCAGTGATGTTTCTTTCAAGCGTAGCTGGTAACTTAAAAATAAAAGAGTCTGGAAGATGCGTATGGTTCTTGTCTTTTTACATTATTTCCTAATAGAAATGGTTGAGTGCACTATATGTTAGTTTCTTGCTCCTACAGAACCCTAAAAACCGGATTCGAATGAGGATGAAACTTCAGCATTATCGTTGATAGATTAGAAGTTTTTCATGATCACAGTTTCATCTGTATTTTTATTTTCTAGTTCATAAAAATCATTTGTTCTTGTTCTCATTCAGATATAAAACATCACTGTTACACAACTGTAACCCATTTTCCAGGGTTATATCATGCTTGGTCCAAAAGATGTCTGAAATGGTCCACAAAATCCCCAGAGTAACTATAAACACCCTATCACATATCCAATTATTTCATCAGCACGTCTACCTACATTAGGGATGCCCATTTATACTTTTATCTTCCATATCTAGGAGTCCATTCCGAAACATCCAATTCCAATTTCTCACCGAGAAGGGTGATCAGGGCGGGCCCTGGGGCAGGGCCAGCACGGCGACCGCCCAGGGCCCACCAATTTAGAGGGCACCAAATCATTAACTTCTGTGGCCCACATCTCAAGTCTTGAATGAAAGGACACAAGGAGTATTTTACTATACAAATTGGTGTCTTGGTCCATTAAATTATTAGGGCCCCATTTTATGCTTGGGCTTCTCAATTTGGAATTTTACTAAACCAACTATCATAGGCTATGTAAATTACTGGGCCTTATACAACTTCGTCATGGGCTTGTATAGGTATGAGGTTTGTGCATGAATTGACTAGCTAGCATAGCATGCTAAAGACTTGTTTCGAATAGTTATATCCAATTTGTGTATTAAATTTTTTGAAAAATTAATCTATTTTGCCAAAATTATTTATCAGTTGACTTACTAAATTATGTGTTGAGTGTTGACAAAAATATTAATTATTCAATTTTAGTAATATTATAATAAGAAGAGATTACATATATATTTTATTTTAATTATGTTATTCTCTTTTTCGTCAAATCTGCCATAGTTTTCTGCTCTTAAAATGTATTATTCTATTTCCAATGTCTAATAAAAAGGAATAACAAATTCTTATTATTAGTTACTTACATACATTTAATTATTTATTATTACTAGTAAATAATTTATTTTTCTCTCACATTTATTATAATTGTTATATTTCATTACATCTATGTGTATATATATAAATATAGAGAGAAAAAATATTTACAAAAATATTTAATGTATACCTTATTTGAAAACATCACTTTGGTAAAAGCAAACACAAGATTTTACTGTTATAGTCTCCAAGTCCATTCCTAAAAGTTTGAGAGAATGAAGTCTCGGCGCAACCTCATTCATTCTTTTGTCAGTTTAATTGATAGAAAAAAAAAAAAAAACTTTATGGGGGCGTTAGCGCTTGTCAGCTTATTTTTCATAAAATTTTATAATTTTGTTATAATCTTCATTCTTCAGTATTTTTTTTTTTTACAATATGATAAATTATTTATGAATAATAAAATAATATGGGCACTATTTATCATTTAGCTCAGGGCCTCTAATTTTTTAGGACCGGCTCTAAGGGTGATCATGCTCCCCCAAGATCCATGAATGCAACCAAAGTAGACAAATACCACATACCAATGATGAGTCTCAATTAAAGCCAACAATTTCAGCCAAGTTTTAGGGGTGAAGCCAATAATAAGTCAGGTGAATTGCAGCATTTACCTGCTGAAGAGATGCTGCCTTGGCTCGGAAAGATGCTTCAAGAAATTCAGTTTCTTTCTTCAGTCTCCTAATCCTTTCTAGATCTGAACAAGCAGCTTTCAAATGCTCCTTCCTAGAACTAGAGCTTGATACATGCAGCTCCTGAAGCAGTTCTTCGAGCCGTAGAAGAGCTTCTTCAACATTCTCCAGCGCCTAAAAGAAATTCCAGAATACAGTCCATCAATGCAACAATCTTTCTCAATGTCCGGACACGGGTAATGAGGTGCAGATCCAATTTTTACGAATATATTAACACCTTACTAATCCAAATCATACGAAATAATATGAAGCTACAACCAGAGTTATAGGACTAAAAGACAAACAAACTTTGTGGTTGAAGAAGAGCAAACTACGTTTAATTCTAGATAATTGGAATTTTCATCCAATAATAGAATTTCAAGTAATTCAATTAGAAGGCGGAATAGTGTGACAACTATTTCGCCAAAATAACTTCCAACCCATTGTGCCATATGCAGAAGCAACACATATGCTTAATGGATGAAAAGCACAAATCATTTACATTTAGCTTCACTTAATATATTATCAAAGTACCTTATCAAACAATTGTGCCTCTTTATCACCGGATGAACGATTCCTGCAAACAAATGTCATCCAGTCATTGGTAAAATAATGAGTCTATAATCTTGTCATTGAAAAAACATAACATTTTGTTGAGACAGAATAACAAGATGTTCATCGAACTAAATCATTCAAGATTATATTTACATGTCAACGTGTCATATCTGTTAAAACCAAAGATAATTATAACTTAACCACATTTTATCTCACAAAAAAAGAGAAATCAGCATTTAACCATCCCACTGTTAAAACCAAAGATAATTATAACTTAACCACATTTTATCTCACAAAAAAAGAGAAATTAGCGTTTAACCATCCCAGATGATGCGTAAATTAAAATAAAATTATAGTTCCAATAAAGACAAAACACGCCTCAGCATATTAACTAAAATGGTTATATAAAGGCAATGCAAACTGGGCAGCAGCCATGGTGGTATCAAATTCAACATCGAACAGCCTCAGTTCAAGGAGAAGACTGAGTTGATAGTTATAGGCATTACATGCAGAGAACTACTCAGACTTTTTTAAACCATCATTTCAAAATTAATCTTTTGGGATGCATCGAAAACTACTATTTTCCTTTTTTATCTAGAGTGATTTTAGTTATAAATAGTACAGCATCATATATATTACAATTCTCGAATCATAGCCATTATTGGCACAAATGATAGTTATTCTGATCCTATTCCAATCTCTTTTAGCAAACTATTCAAATAAATGCCAAAAAAAAAAAGAATGCTAGAAAGCATCTGATGAAACATTGACATTTCACATAATGCAAACTAAAAGCAACTTTTGAATTAATGTCATTTTTTAATAGTGAAAAAATACAAATGTATAAAGTCTTGGACAATAACTACAAACAGATATGCAAAACTTTTGTATTTTTTGATAATTAACTAATAAAACATACATCAACTTGAACCTAAAAAAAAAAATTAAAATGCTAATATTGTTACTGTTACCAATTTAAATAGGGTGTATGTGTATTTATTGATTTATTTAAAATATTTTTATTTTATTTTCATATTAACATATATAAGAAAATATTTTTGAAATAAAACAAAAAAAAAAGTTAAGACGACACAACGTCCTGGGCCCATCGTTATTCCATCCCAGTTAATAGATAAAAAGAAGTTCACAAGGAAGAAAATAAATGGATTCCCTCAAAGGATTCAACACAGCCTCCAAATATAAAGACGTTTCTGATCCCAAATCATGAAAAGATTTTCCAACCAAACAATACGTTAATCAGAAAACAAATATCATGAGGCCAGCCCCTCATGAGTAATGACCCCAGTTAAACATATTCAGTATAGCCAATTAAAACGTGGTCCAATGTATCCTATATGATTCTCATTGGTTTCCCAAGAGAAAAATATGCTACATTGCAAAAAGGATTATATTCATAAGAGATGCTTTTTATTCCTTATTTCTACGACGCACTCATTATTTAAAGATTATTGATACTCTATGGCTATTGGTGCTTTAAGCAATTATTGAACAGTCTATTAGGAAAATAAAGCACAGAGAATTCCAATGTTTCGACTGCCCTATCATTCACAAGCACAAATGAGAAAGATAGGATGCAGGGAGAAGATAGGTAATAGGTATGTTCGTCATCTCAAACATACTTTTGAATTCCCAGCTCTTCCATACATGCTTTCAATTTGTTGTGCCTGAAATATATGGAATGGAAAAATGGCATCATATAATTATTTTTAAAATATGTAAATCAACTTATGAAAGATATTGCTGATTAGATCATCATCAAGTCTTTGAACGTTCTAAAAGTTTATACCCTTTGGAAAGAAACCTAGCTGCCTTAACATTAGATGGATTCTCAAGCCATTTGCTGTACTTGATGAAACTCTCGATCCAGTGCGAACAAACTTCTAATACTAAGGCAATTGCTTCAGTGTTGGGGAGGGATTCATTACGTTTGTGTGCAACAGTTCGTTTGGAGGTGCTACTACTGCCTGGATAAAAAGGAACCCAATCCAGCTCTTCACAAACAACCTGTTACATCCACAGATCTTTAGTTTCTTCTACAAAGTAGATTCTGCTAAAGAAATATATTTTTCACGCTGACCTCCACATACAGTTGATAAGAACTTATTGCTGACAGCTGAGGATAATAAAGCACAGTGCCTCCAATTAAATACCTGCTCAAGAAGATAGTAAGTAAGGTACAGAAAAGTTACTGGGTACATAAAGCAAAATGCATCTCTATCTCAGAAGTGAACCTTATAAATCCTTCAATTGGTTCATCCAGAGTTTCATATCCATTAGCAAAGAGATAGGATTGTGTACTTCTCCCCAAGGCAACGAAGAACCCAAATATAGCCAAATCCCTCTCCAAAACCTTCATGAGAAAGGCAGGATATATCAGTAAGTGAGCAACAATGGCCAGAAAGAAATCAAGAACTTTGAACCACGTATTATGCACATGCTGCACAAAGCTAGAGAAAAGTGCAATAGGTCATTAACACTATCATACATTAATTCCATCTTAAAGTAAGAAATCGGTTGATGATATTTAAATATATTTCAGCCAGCAGCCCACTAATAAGGATTAAGGCCAGTACAAACTTGGTTGCTAAGAAATTTAACTAAATGCTTCACTTAAAAAATCGTCTCAACTGCGAAGTGTAAAAGGCTAATCGATATGTCGGAAGTCCACACTTGGAAAGTGTGAAAGGAGCACCCACATGTTGCACTGGATTTTCTTGGCCTATTTTAGAAATTTGTCCATGTATACACACTACTCAAACATAAGGGCTGGGAAATAAAAATGCGAAAGCCCTTGGCTTGAGTCAAAAATTGATGAATAACCTAGTTGCCTGCCATCATTTGATAACAAAGGAAGTCCAGTGATAGGCTAGTGAATGCTTCATCACTTCCGTTCCCTGAATGAAATATTGCTCATTCTTGCTAATGTCCATAGTTCTACCAAATTATGTGGGCAACCAATAATTGATGCACTAAATCTAAGATAATAATGAAATCTTTACACATTTGCTTTAACAGAGAAATTTTCCTTTATGCCCATCTTCATATGTTTCAAGAAACCAGTCATCTAATCAACTACGAGAATGTGTTCAAATACAGAAGAATATCCAGAATAACCTCAATACTTTCACTAGTCGTGAGTCTGGACCATATTCTCTCCCGGTCGATAGCTCGCCGCAGCTGCTTTTGTACTAGACTCACCCAAAATACAATCTCCTCAGCACCCAGTTCATTTTTCACTCTACAAGCAGCTGCTCGCGGACCAAAATGGATCAGAAATTCCCTACGCAGGCCAATTTCCTTTATCGAGTTGTAAGCTTGGCCAACAGGAACAAATTCAACCAGCATATCCATCAATCTACCAGTTATGTCAGGTACAATGGAAAAGAACTGAGCACAAGAAACTTTTGTAGGGCCAAGTTTCATGATAGCTGCTATACAACTAAGTGCAAGCAAGAGAAGAGATATGTCACTTGAATTGCCGGAAACTGCAGACAAACCTTTTCTATACCTGTAAAAATTCTCATGGATGAGTATTATGGGTGTATAAAAATATGCTGTAGCACATTACAGTATGATAGCTGCTTACACAGCATTAGCAGGGGCAAAACGTTTCTCCTTATCAAAATAATTAACAAAGCTCGTCACCACAGCTGGGATTTGCTCAGACCAAAACCAGTCATAAGCTTCAGGCTGTTTGTCCAACAGCTTATCATTGATTAAACTCTCTAAAGGAGCAGATTGCCGTGATATGCTACAGTAGTGAAATAGAAGGGTTATATTTCTGCAAATATAACAGAATAACTGCAAACCGGATACTATACACACAGAACCTAGAAATCAGTTCTGTTAGGCCAAACTACAGAAAGAAAAAACTTAAGGAATGAATTAGCGAAGATTGGAGTCTAGTTTATCCTCATGGATTCAACATATAAATCCATATACAATAAATAAAGTAATGATAGAGAACAAAACAAGTAGTATCTCAAGTAAAAACCAAAGGAGAGGGAAAAAGAATCCAACAAGATTTCACCTATTCCAAGGTGTCATATCAAACAATTGTCTCAGACAGACCAGAAGCAACACAATCAAAATGGATTGTTTACCTCCTCTGCACAAAAACATTGATATCCCTGTCCCTTCCATCTCCTCGAGATGAAATCTCACTTGCTGCTTGCAGAAGAGAATACACAGCCGCCTGATAATTTTACAGTTCCTTAGGCACAAACAATGAATAACAGATGAACCTCACCAAACACGAGGGAAGCAAAATGAACACCTAAATCAGTATATAAAAAAAGGGTCATGGTAGTCAGGGTAGCTTTTTAGTTAAGAGTAGTATATCCACAATCAGTGATATTCCAGAAGGGGGTTGTTTCTCAAATTGAAAAAGTCATACAGATTTAATCCATCTCTATTTTAGTAAAGAATACTTAAGATATTTACTAAGCAAATGGCACAGCTAAAGAATTTTTGAAATTCAAATTTTGTGCCAATATCATTGTCATCAACACATCACTGTGTCAGTAAAACAATAACTTAATATGTCATCGGGGTTGAGCGAGAGAGAGGGAGGGAGAGAGTATATTTCACAAGAGGAAGAAAGAAGAAGGAAATTGAGCATTGGTCACCCACATCTAGTTGACTAAATTCATAACATAATGCAAGTTCCCATGTTAGTATGTTTTAACATTTCTAAAAGTAAATCGAATTCTTCTATGTACGCCATATGTGCTGGTTTCAGGCCTCGGGAGGCTTGATCACAGGTTTTCGATAATCCATAGATAATTGAGGAACTAAAATATTCTTCTAACCTGATAAGACAGTGCCTTAGCCCAAGCATTTTTGTCCACACCAAGCCAGGCAGTTGAGAACCATGATGTTTTCGATGCAGAGTTTTGTTCTTTAATTGCCAACTCAAACACCCTGGCAGCATCATGCAGCAACTGAACCATGCCAGTACTGTAGTCCTCATCCTTCAAGGATTCATCCAACTTGTACCTCTTTCCCCCAATCTCATCGCCACTTCTTGCTTGGGGTTTTGAATTAACTGACACACCATCATCAGCAGAAGCCAAAGGCAGGAGACGGCCTATCCTCCTTAGTTTGTGAAAGCTACTGGATTGTTTGCCTAAATCTGAAAACTTGCACCTAAAACTAAATTTAACATGGGAAATCCTGGCGCGGCCTCTCGCCCACGTACAACTATGATTAAATACCAGTCGATCCGGGCCAACAACTAAATTGACCCTGATAGGTTTACCTGGCACCCATGGACTTGAAGAGCTGCAAATCACATAAAATTAGAAGTGCAAGCCAGACAAACAACAACAACAACAGATTCACTTTACAAAAAGCTCTAAAATTGAACATGTGCCTGAAGTCACTGAAAACCGCATCACTATACTTCACCAATTTCACTCTTCAGTAGAACTAAATACCAAAATTTCCTCAATTTTTTTAGCTTGGGAACAACAAAAACAGATTGTTGTTGAATTGTCATAAAACATTTATCCGCTGACAACTAAATATATGAGATTAACTATGCAGAAAAATATGTGACCAAAAGTGATAAAACATACAAAAAATGAGGAGTGAAAAGACTCGCCTGGAAGGGACGATGTTCTGGTTAAAAGACATAACAAAATACACAACTTAGCAGTAAAGATAACACAAATGCAGTGATAATGGCCGCTTTTTTGTCTTCTGATGGAACCACTGAAGATGAAGCAGCAAAAATGGTGGGAAATTTGGGGAAGAACAGAGATTTTTTGTTTTTTTTTTTATTTGTCTATTTTTTGAGGGGCGGAGAAAATTACAGAAGGTGACATGGCAATTTGGCAGGAATTAGATTTGCAGCATTCTATCCGCATTTGGTATACGTGG